GTGTCAGTTAACACAGTTTTGTTTCAAGAATATATTGATGAAGTTGTACAAGTTTTGGGGACAGAGGAAGAACTCACCCTGATGATGGATAATGTCAGAATCCATCATAATGTTGAGATGAGGGCTCAGAACATTCAAATAAAGTATTTGCCACCATATTCATCATTCTTCAATCCGTGTGAAGAGATTTTTTTATCTTAAGAATAACGTGCGAAGAAATACGGCCTCAACTGGTAGAAATGAACTAATTACAAGAATGCGTGATGCATGCTTATCTATTTCTAATGTTAACTTATCAAATTATTACACACACTGCGAAAGCTTTTTCGAAGCGTGTCTTAGGTCAGATGACATACCTCGACAGTATTTGGAAAATAAACATTTTAAATAGAATAAAATTTAAAATAATTTTAAAAAAATGAATAAAAAAAATAAAAATATATAAAGAAAACCTTTTATTTTTAAATAATATAAAATGTTGAGTTTGCGCATGCGTTAAATGTTTTAATTAAAAATCACGATCGTTTTAATTGAAAAGCACATTGTTTTAATTGATTGTCGCGGTGTTTTAAATGAATGTCATGGTTGTTTTAAATGGTTGTCATGATTGTTTTAAATGGATGTAAAAACCGGTGTATATATATATATATATATATATATATATATATATATATATATATATATATATATATATATATATATATATAATATATATATATATATATATATATACATATATATATATATAAATATATATATATATATATATATATATATATATATATATATATATATATATATATATATATATATATATATATATATATATATATATATATATATATATACATATATATATATAAATATATATATATATATATATATATATATATATATATATATATATATATATATATATATACATATATATATATATATATATATATATATATATATATATATATATATATATATATATATATATATATATATATATATATATATATATATATATATATATATATATATATATATATATATATATATATATTAGGGTTGTTAACCGGAGGATTTCGTACAATTCCGGAAAAACAACATTCTTTCGTAAGGAGATTGAGAACAAGGAATTACATTTTTTACGTACCGAATATTACAAAACAATTAAAATTGCCGATGTTCATTTTGCAAATGCTACTTCCGAAATTTAGCCTTTCGCAAGTTGACATACGAAATAAAACTATTTTGCAACATACGAAAGTAGCGGTTTCGTAAGTCGCACTTGCGAAACGAGCACTTTTGCCAAACGGCGTTTTAAAGTCTATATAGAAAATTTGTTCGCCAGACTGATTTTAATTGTAAAAATTAACATCTTTAAATCCCAAAATGTTTATAATGAATTTTTATTTTCAGCATAATAACATATTAAATTTTTATGGTTTTATTTTTAGAAATAATGATAAAAAACAAAATTTCTCTCGAAACGAAATTATTTCGCATCACAACATACGAAAGAGTTCTTACAGGGTTTATGCGAAATATAAAACATTTTTTAAGAAAATATAAAACATTTTTTAAGACAATATAAAACATCTTTTAAGAAAATATAAAACATTTTTTAAGAAAATATAAAACATTTTTAAAGAAAATATAAAACATTTTTAAAGAAAATATAAAACAAATTTTATGCTAATATAAAACATTTAATTAGTTAATTAAATGTTTAATATTTTAACATAAAATATTCAATTACGTAATTACTCTATACTATGGAATTTATGTGGTTTATTCACAACAAAGAAAGAGATCTGTAAAAATATATTATTCAAGCTTTATTTTGTTGTTTTAATCAATAAATGGAAAACAAGAGACAAAGAAAAAAAAGAACACTTATTACAAAGGATATTGTAAAAATAATAAGAAAGTCAATTCTTAAAGAAATGAAGTTAAAAGAAATTGCGGAAGAAGTTGAAATATCAGTTTCTGCAGCACGTTCTATTTCTGATAAAATCTGTAAAGGACTTAGTGATGATGAAATCGCATCAGTAAAAAAAGGAAGGCGCAGCTCTTATGACGAGACACTTAAATCTGAAATTCGAATGTTAATTGAGCATGATCCATCTCATACGTTAGCATCATTGAGAAACATTCTCGTTGAAAGGAATATTAATGCATCTATACCAACAATATCTAAGTATTTGAAGTCGATGGAGTTCACTAGAAAACGACTTACATTAGTACCAAAAGAAAGGAATTCGCCGCAAAACGTTGATTTAAGACAAAGTTTTTGCAGGACTATTAATTCGATTCCTGACAATAACTTAGTGTTTCTAGATGAAACAGGCTTTAATTTACATACTTCTAAACAGTATGGCTATTCTATAAAGAATACAAAATGTTTTGTTACAGTGCCAGCAAATCGTGGAAAGAATGTAAGTCTCATGGCCGCTATAACAGTTAATGGTATTTTAAGCTTTAAGATAGTGGATGGTGCCTATAATGGCAATCTTTTTTGCGATTTTATAACCAACAATTTAAGACCGTATTTCCAAACGTATCCCCATTCTGTACTAGTATTGGATAGTTGTGCATTTCACCGTAGAAGAGATGTAATCAATTTGCTCAGCCAATCCAGTGTTTCAGTTTACTTTTTGCCACCTTATTCACCACAATTGAACCCGATTGAGGAATACTTTAGTTGTCTTAAAGCTAATTATACATTATAATATACATTGGCCGTTTCCAAAAACTAGCAATGAAGTTGAGGCTACTTTAAATTCGCTTATACCGACAATTGGCGTTGATTTTTGTGGTTGGTATTATAATATGAGAAGATGGGTTTTGAAAGGCATAGCAAGACAAGAATTTTACTAAAGTGGATACTTTGCTTTTTATATTATATCTTTAAGTATAATGAGTTATAATTATATAAAAGATACTCTTTATTCTTTAGAAATTTATGAATAACTTTATGTACCATAATTGCACAATTGATTCAACTACAATGTTTTATATTTTCTTAAAAAATGTTTTATATTTTCTTAAAAAATGTTTTATATTTTCTTAAAAAATGTTTTATATTTTCTTAAAAAATGTTTTATATTTTCTTAAAAAATGTTTTATATTTTCTTAAAAAATGTTTTATATTTTCTTAAAAAATGTTTTATATTTTCTTAAAAAATGTTTTATATTCTCTTAAAAAATGTTTTATATTTTCTTAAAAAATGTTTTATATTTTCTTAAAAAATGTTTTATATTTCGCATAAACCCTGTAACTGAAACAAACTTACGAAACGTGCGATAATAAATACATTTAATGACTTTTTATGAACTCATTACGTATAATTAACAGTAATTAATAATAACTAATTATTAAATAATTAACAATAACTAATTATAATATGATATTGAAAAGCGTCAGATGCAAACTTTTATAAATAAACCTAGGCTTTCATGAAATATACTTTTTTAAATGGCATCCAATGAACAAGTATTAAACGACGAAGATAACTTGAATAACATTAATCTTTCCATTTTGGGGCAAAAAAGAAAACTTAAAGCTACTAAATCATATGTATGGGATCATGTAGATTTGCCTACAATAAATAATGCATTTGTAATATGTCAGCATTGCAAAACAAAGTATCCCGAGGAAAATAGTAAATGGAAAATAAAATGGTCTGGCGATTCAACAAGCAATATAATTTGGCATTTAAAATCTATACATAAAATATTTGGACCATCAAATAGTAATAACAAAAGGCAAGAACTAGATGTCCTTCACAATTTGGATTCGGAAAAAAATGAAGATATAGAAGTTGATGAAAACATCTGGATTAATAAAAGGTTTACATTAAAAAGACAAGAAATTATAACTGAAAAATTGCTCGATTTCATGCTCAAAGCAAATATGCCAATGTGCCTTGTAAATCACCAATCATTTATTGATTTTGTTAAAAGTTTAAATCAAGATTACAAACTACCTCAACGGCAAACTATATCATATACTTTAGTTCCAAAAATGGTTAGTATTTATGATAATAATTCATATATATATATATACATATATATTATATATGTATACATATATATATATATATATAAAATATATATATAACGTATACATATATATATAAAATTTATTTTTAACCTTAGTATAATTTTATTTTGGAAAAAGATATCAAAAAAAGAAAAAAATTTTTAGAAAAATTTTTTATTGTATTTTATATTTATTATAAAAGAATTTATAATTTTTTTACAAAATAATGTTAAAAAATTAAAAAAACTGAGTATTAAAAAATAAAAATGGAAAAAAAAATTGGACAAAGTTTAAAGACCAGTTTCAAAAATATTTCAAAAAGCAATAAAAAAATAATTTAGAATCGTGTTGTTCCTCCATTTGTTTTCAAGCACTCTTGTACTAGTTCTGGCATTGAATTCATTAAAGTTTTAATTACTTCATCTGGCACATTATTCAAATGATGAGAGATGGAAGATTTCAAATCTTCCAAATTGTAAAGTTGTTCTTTACCAAGCTTGTGATCAAGCCACGACCATAAATTCTCTATTGGATTTAAGTCTGGACTATTGGCAGGCCATGGAAGCACTTGAATTTTATTAGAATTGAACCAATCGCTAACAACATGCGCTTTATGACACGGCGCATTTTCTTGCTGGAAAATAAATCCATCATGCAACTGCCATAAATCAATGCTAGGAATAATCGAGTTTTCCAAATTTTCGTTATACCTTTCTTTGTTGAGTCTACCATCGAAAAAATAAAAAACGCTAACTCCACAGACATTCATACAGGCCCAAATGCCTATTGAACCACTGCCTTGTTTTGTTTGTTCCAAAATGCATGATTCATCAAACCGTTCGCTTGAAAGTCTACGCAACATTACGCAACCTTTTCTGTTGTCTTCCTCAACGTTTATTTCATCACAAAAGACCACACGGCTCCACTGATCTGTTGACCAATTTTTATGTAGTTTGCACCACTCTTACCTGGCAAATTTTTGTTTTTTATTTAAGCGTGGTTTTTTTGCAGCAGCACGCCATAAATAATTTAAAATTTGGAGGACCCTTTGCACAGTTCTAGGGCTTGCTTTCAGACCATTTGACAGTGTCCATTTCGTAGACAAGTCTGTAGATGATGCTTGTCTGTTTTCTTTCATTAATCTCACTAACGAGCGAACATCACGGTCATTTGAAATTTTATTGCGTCCAGTCCTAGGACAATCATTAATTGAACCGGTCTCTTTGTATCGTTGAATTATGTTAATAATGCAAGAGTGAGACCTTCCGAGCCTTTCTGCTATTTGTCTGATGCTATAACCTTCTTCTTTTAATACAAAAGCTGCGTATCTGTCTTTTTTTTCGGTCTTTGCACGCATTTTTGCAATATTTTTATATCCTTATTGCAATTCAAAAAATAAATGTTTATTTGATATCGAAACTCAGGTTTTAATAATTTATTTTATAGCCAACGTAATAAGCAATTAAGACAGTTAAAAAAAATAATCAACTATTATTTTTTATAAGTGCAAATTAAAGATTTGAAAGTGGTCGTTAAATTTTGTCCAATTTATTTAAAGAAGATTTATAAGTACTCTTCAGTTTTTTAATAAGTTAAACGCTATTTAATTAGAATTAGTTTAAAAAAATTATACCATTTTAATCCGTATGTTTTAATTAACAAGATATTAAAAAAGAAAAATTTAATATGTCAATTAGAATCTTCTTAATTTTGATTTAAAGATTAAGAAACCAACTAAAAAATAAGTGGTCTTTAATTTTTGGCCACCGCTGTATTTATATATATATATATATATATATATATATATATATATATATATATATATATATATATATATATATATATATATATATATATATATATATATATATATATATATATATATATATATATATATATATACTGAGAAGGGGGTTTAGGCGGTGCACTGCTCCAGTGCCCATAGAACAATTGGGGCCCATTAACCAAAGCTTTTTTTAAAAATAATTACAATAATAATTACAAAAGTTTATTCGTGACATTAAATATACAATTGCATATTTTTCGAATACTCTATTCTTCTTTATATTTTGTATTTAATAGCATGACATTTTTACAATTTTAATTTTAGAAATAATCGTAAACGATGCTGCCTCTTCACAAGTCATGATGTCAAAAAAGGAAAGAAAGACAAAAACATATTGTGAATGAAATAAAGGGTATGCGGACGCTTTTTGACGTTGGAGTCACTGCATTAAATCCCAAATGATAATGAACAAGAGGACTAGTTTCTAAAGCAAATGATGTAGATAAAATAAGCAATGATTTAACTGACTGTATTGATGGGAAAAAAATTGAAACGTTTGAAGATAATGAAGATGATTCAAATGGGATTGAGACTGTAAGCCTTTCGGTTTTAATTGTGACCAGGTCCTTCTTGATATTGGTAATCTTTTGAGTGAAACTCCCTCTCAATCTGAGATAGAAAAGTATGTCACAAATGACCATGTCAATTTTCTTAACATATTACCCAAAGAGATTAACAATCAGGCTTTTCCTAAGACAATTTTAAATTTTGAGAATGTCAACGGTGAAGTTTATAAAAGAGACTGGCTGATTTTTGAGTCAATATAAACAAGCATTGTTTTGCTTTCCATGTCAATTATTTTCTGGTAATATTTCCAAAATCTCTGTTAGTGAGAGTAATTTAAGTTCGCGATCAGTATTGGCTTCACCTGGTGGATATGCAGCAACTGGTAAACGGCGAAAGTTGTGTAACAGGATTCCAGAGCATGAGAGGAGCAATGTCCACAGAGAATGTTACCTAGGAAAACTTACCTTGGAAAACTTGATTAAATTGCATTTAACGAAATGGTCCAATATTCTTAAAAGAATATTAGATGTTATCCTATTTTTGGGTGAACGTGGATTGGCTTTTCGGGGATCCTCCCAGCGATTTGGAGATGTAGATAATGGCAACTTTTTGAATCTTATAGAGTTACTTTCACATTGGGACTCTATACTTAAAGAGCATGTATTGTCAGTGGAAGAATCTCAGCGAAAAGGTAAAAGACTTCAAGTTCATTATCTATCAGCTGATACTCAAAATGAATTCATTCCAGAATGCTCAGATTTGGTGCAGCAGCATATTTTACAAGAAAGAAGATCTGCTAAGTATTTCGCAATAATGGTCAATGCAACGCCAGATTCGTCTTATACAGAGCAAACAACATTCATATTACGGTATGTAATATTAAAAGATTCACAATATGAAATTGTTGAATGATTTCTAACATATGTAGATTGCAACAATAAAACTGGGGATGAAATATCTCAAATGATAGTGGAAACATTTCAACATAACTCCATTCCTCTCTCAGATTGCAGGGCACAAGCATATGACAATGGATCAAATATGGCTGGAAAATACAATGGTGTGCAAGCCAAAATACTTCAGTTGAGTCCATTAGTACTATTTTTCCCTTGTGGATGTCACACACTTAATCTTGTGGGAAATGATGCGGCAAAATGTATTCCTGAAGCTGTAACATTTTTTCGAACGATTCAAACAGTATATAATTTGTTCAGCTCATGTCCAACACGATGGGAGATATTATCAAAACACATCAACTGCTCACTAAAAGGAATGTCACATACAAGGTGGTCAGATCGTGTTGAAAGTGTCCTTTTGCAGCACAACTTCCTGGGATTAAATTGTCATTGGAAGAGCTTTTAGAATTAAATTTGACTTCTAAAACAAGAGCTGAAGAAGAGGTGCCTTATATTATATTAATTCATTTTCCTGCATAATAATGTCATCGATATGGTACAAATTTCTTGTTCCGATTGATTTTTGCAACAAAGTTATTCAAGCAAGAAATGCAACTTTAGATGTGAAAGTGGACAACATAAACCACTTACTGAGACAACTTCTTGAGGTTCGGAATAAATGGAAAGATATCTGGTCAGAATCAAAGAATGTTGCAATGAATTTGGATATAGAAGTCCAACTATCAAGAGGACGTGGTGGTGCAAATTGCAAAAGAGCCAGAGTTGTCGGCGAGCCAGAGAATCAAGGGTTTACAGATTTAAATGAAGATGAGACCATGGAGAAATCATGCTTTAGAAGATTTGTTTTCTATGTGGTATTAGATAGTGTTATTGGTGGCCTTACTGTAAGATTCAAAGCAGCACAGAGCATTTCAGATAAGTTTAGCTTCATGTGGAGTTATCTCAATATTGATTTGGATACATTGGAAATGAAAGCAAAATTATTAAGTGAAGAGTATTCCGCAGATGTTGGCGAAGATATTGTAATGGAAATAAAACAGTTAAAATCTATATATTATGCAAATTTTGGGTCAAATCAATTAAACCCCTTTGAACTCCTAAATTTAATTAGTCGAACTAATTTGTAGGCCTATTTCCAAATATTTGTGTATGCTTGAGAATATTCTTAACAATTCCTGCTACAGTTGCATCCGCTGAACGCTCAAGGACGGTTAGTGGATTTGGCAATGTTGAGTCTCAAATCCTCAATATCTAGGTCAATTGATTTTGACAAAGTTATTCGAAATTTCGCTTCAAAAAAAGCAAGAAAAAGCACCTTTGTTTTGTAAATGAACTATTCTTTTTGTTAAAATTCTGTTATTATTAGTACTTGTATATTTGTTGAGATTGATTATTGTATTATTGAACATGGTTGAAACGTAACAAATAGTCTGAATTTTTACTTCAGAAGGAATCCTTTAATACAATAATGAAAGAAAAACTAATTACATAAAAAAACCAAAACAATAATTCAAAACAGTTAATAATTATTCTTTAAATTAATATTCTTTAGTAAATGTATTAATTGTAGCCAGAAATAAAACTGTAAAGCGAGATTCAATCCTCATAGTGAACAATTGCCAATTTCAAAAACCAATGTGAAATTAAATCACAGTTGATTCAGCAAAAGCATACAGTAATAGTTTAAAATATTAGAAATATGGGTAAAGGGCCCAAAATATCTCTTGCACCGTCTAAAATTATGGCTCTCTGCGGGGCTGTATACAGGATATATATATATATGTATATATATATATATATATATATATATATATATATATATATATATATATATATATATATGTATATATATATATATATATATATATATATATATATATATATATATATATATATATATATATATATATATATATATATATATATATATATATATATATATATATATATATATATATATATATATACAGGTTGCGACAAATCGACGAAGGTGCGAATGTTTGCTAAAAAAATGTCTGAAAAACGAACGTTGCGTTTCCTTACTTTTACTTAAGCAAACGTTGTACAGTGGGAAATCACATGGCCAAAAATTAAAAAAGTGACATAGTTCAATCATTATGTCTGATAGTGGGTTTTGTTACTAATACTCACTAAGAATTTTTTATTTTTTGAAATTCTAAATAAGACAGGTCCAATGGTAGTGGCTTCTTGAAGTTAAGTTTTTAACAATTTTTCAATAAAAATTTTCAAAATGCTGGATTTTAGTAACTATTATTTTTTTAATATATACATCATTGAAAACTTGAGAATATATACAATATTGGAAAGGTAATAGTATTATCTGATAAAAATAAAAAATAAAAATTTCTTGGTACTACAATTTTTAGCATTGAAAGCAAAAAATTCATCACAAAAGCACTATTTTAACTTTGATAAAGAATTAAAAAATTGCTCCAATTTGTGCCTTTTCCATATTTTGATATTTTCAAGTCTATAGTGTCTACTAACAATCCTGAGAAGTGTAGTGTTGATCTTCCGCAATCTTGTGCAAAAAAAAATTTTGAAAAACTGATGTTTTTAAACAAATAAAAAACTTCTTGGAATAAGAACAATTTTTTTCCATTACAAAAAGTAAAAAAAAAAAAAACTAGTTTAATGCATAAAATACCAAACTAAATTTGTTTTCGTGTTGTTGTTAAAAAGAAAAAAGTTGTTTTTTATTTTTATTTCACGAGTTTATGGTTTTAAAATACATAATTAATTTAAGAAAAAATAATTCTAAAGTGCATTTTTAATGCCCCACTATTCAACCAAAAACCACATGAATTTCTAAATGTTGTTAAGAAGTTTCTTTTTACTTTGTAAGTTTATTATTGTGAACTAAGAAAATGGAGGAAATCAATTTAATACAAATTGTGCAAGGTTTTTAGGTTTCGAAAAATAGTTTTGAAAAAGTAAATAGTTGGTTTAAATACATTATTACTAGAATTCAAGTCAGAGAAGATAAAATAAACTTTTTAGTATCAAAACCAAAAGAAAGTGATTAAAACGAACTCTTGCAAAGTATCCACTATGGCATAAATCATATTAAAATAAAGAAGTTTTTGATATTAGATTTTAGGTTTGGCTTAACTAAGTTTTTAAAACAATTAATTTAGTTGAATTGCCAGGTAATCAAGAAGGTTGACCAACAAAAGAGCTTGATGAATCGAGTTCTCAAACCAAAAGAAGATTAATAGCAAATATATCATCAACGTTTTAATAATTCTAATCATAATAACCTTCAAGATTCGGATCTAATAGTGATAGCAACATCAATTTCAAACAATATTTAATGGAATAACATAGTGTTTCAGAGTATTAGGTTATGATGTCAATTATGAATATATAAAAGAAAATAAAGATGTATAATCAAAAATTAAGGAAGAAATTGAAAAAGAAAAAAATAAAATTTATTTTAAAATTAAACTGTTAGAGTTTATCTTTTAGGACATTATTATATATTATATATAACATATTTAACATTATTATATATTATTATATAACATATTCAAATGTTGACAACGTTGACAAAAATCTAGAACTAGATATCGATATAGTAGAATAAAATTCTAAACTGTATAACCTGTATAATGTATAATTTTATATTTGTCCGTCTATTATACAAATTTATAAGTATATAAAAATATTTGAAAAGTTTTATTAATTCTGTTCAAATCATTTGAGTTTGCAAACAAGTAAATCCCAAAAGTTTATTTATTAGTTTTTTTATTATTAGTTTTATTCTTATTTATTATTAGTTGAGAATTAAAACAACCGACTTTATTTCTCATTTAATAATCTGTTAAAGTTCGAAGGATATGACTGTAGTAACTATGATAAAGTTTTCACCATCCCCGAAATGAGGGCGTCGTAAACTTTATGTGATCCTAACTTTTAGAAATAAAAGAATATTCAATGAAAGTTAAAACCTGTCAATGAATTTGGGTTTAGTATAAGATAGCAGCAAAATTTTTCTTTTGGGACCTATTGCCCTAAGTATTTTGTTTTTGTGGGGGTAGGGGCTAACTTTTTGGGGTGTTTTGGATCCCGGGCTTCAATCACTGCAATTTTGTTTTTGCAAAACATTATATTTTAAATTGAACATAGCCTGAACGTAGCAAGTCTGTAGCATTGGAAAATCGTCCATTATTTAAACAATGTCCGAAAGTATCACATAAAAATATCCAACTGGTGTCTCAGTGCGTAAGTGAATTTTCCTATCCCTTTTCTGTGCCTATTAGTTGGTTAAACAAAAAAATAAAAAATATTATATTAAGTCTCTGTTTTACTCAATTAAGGCTTAATATTCACATAAATACAACAATTGTATTTTTGGCCACCTATTTTAATGGAATGTTTCCACTGTGCGTAGGCGTTTGCTTAAAAGTTTTAAAAACGAATCCATAACTTAAGTAATTTTTTTTTCCAAATAATTATGCGATTGATAGTTTTTTATTCATTATTAAAAAAAACATTAATTTACTAAGACAAAAACGCAGTTTCAACGACTTTAATGAAACAATTGGCCGGGTGAATAAAAAACAGTAATTGCTTTTACTCAAAAATTGGTAATTTTATGTGAATAAAAATCTTAGCACATTAGCTTATGTTTTTATTCACGTAAAACTGACCAAATTATAAATAAAAGCAATTGCTTTTTTTTTACCTACCTAGTGTTACTTTTAAGTTTAAAAATCTAAAGAAAGGAATTATGTTTTAGCTTGTTTTTTACATGCGTTTGCAAAAGCACGGGTAATTTTAGTTAAAATGAATGAACGCAATGAGATTTAAATTAACCATGCTAAAACCTTACTTTCTAAAAGCGTGCCTTTTTTTTTAATTTTCTTAAGGCTATTTTCCATTCAGCTTTTCTTGAAACTTTCCGCGCAGAAAGCTACTTTATTCATGCGCACACTGTATTAAATAAAAAAACTTGTAACAATTATCCACAAG